TTAAATATAGAGCCTCCGTCGCGTGTCGTGGGAGTGAGGAATAGTGCAGTCGTCGTCGAAGTCGTTAGAGGGTTGGGTGTGTACTTGTACCATTAGACACAACCCCTCGCGGCACACCCGCGTTTTATCGACAAGAGCCACTGTAAAAAGAGAGAGAGAGAGGGGGGGAGGCGCCCTTATGGCCTCTTTGAAGGATAAGGTCGCGCGTGTCGTGTCTATATACACAGCCGTGCGGTCACGGCGGCTTTATTTTCTTTTCTGTTTTTCGCCCGTTTCTCCGATGATGAAAAATTGCCAAAGAGCTATGGGATCCTGGAAATTTATCTCGCTATGAAACTCGTGCTATTTTTTTGGAGCCTCATTTTTCGACAAATCAGCGCGTCGTTGTAGTAGCGACGCTTTAATTTTTTATTTCAATTGTAATGATAGGTCTTTTTTTTTTTTTTTTTTCAAGGAAAATATGAAGAATGATAAATTACGACCATGTACCCCGGGTGACAAGCCGTGATGTATGGGTAAGGCTAACATATTCATACAGTTTGTCGACTAAGGTGGTTTAAAATTTATCGCATCTTACACGAGAGAAGTGATTTTTTTTTTTTTTTTTTTTCTTTTTTGTTTTTGTTCCTTAGAAGTATAGATGCTCGTTCCGGGGCTGGAAAACAAATTTGTGCTACAGTAAAACAGAGCTTTGGTCGTACATATTTACCACTGGTGCGAAAAAAAAAAAAAAATAAATAAACAAATAAAAAATTTGAACTCTAAAAAAAGAGGAAACCAAAAAATGTCACGCCGGCGCGTCCAGCATTCCGTGGTCAGTGGAACACGCAATAAAAACCGGTAAAAGTCATCAGCCGACTAGACATCACGTGCTTCTGTAGCACCATGTTAAATTTGTTCTTTTTCACGTTTCCAAGTTTGACATAACAATGATATCCTTGTGGTAGGGGAATTTGTGGGTAAATCGAAGAAAAGCCTTGGGGATTGTTTGCAATTTTCACCACAAGCACAGGCAAAAGTATCGATCTCTGCGAGTTGAAAACGGTCCACGTTGACTTTAGCTCGTGATATATATCATACCGATCGCGGTCAATGATATTCGACTGGAGCTCTTTTCTTTTCATCCACGTATATAGGTACAGCCTAGGTACGGCTGAAACCGGGTAACCTGTCGTGGAAAGCGAACGGAATACAATCATATACAAACCGACGGCCCGAGAAAAGGAGAGATCGGTAAAACGTCGATTGACAGATGCGAGCCGTCAAAGCTGAATCGGAATCGGCTGCGATTGTATACGCCCCCCCCCTTTCCCCCTCAAGCATCGTCGGGAGAAAATCTCGGGCTTCTTGCACCTTAGACATTGTTGCAACGTGCACGTGTATATTTATACCCGCGTGGCTTTCGCGTCGAATCGGACATACTCGGGATTGTTTTCCATCAGTTTTATAAACAGCCGAGTTTTTTTTTTTTTTTTTTTTTTTCCATCACATACCTTCAGTAGCGGTATTTATCTGTACACCCGTGCACAGTACATACGCGCACTCACACGCATAACTCAAACACGCGATTTCGATAGCGTGAAATATTAGCTCATCGCGCAATTTATTCATCACGTATATGTACATTCCTATATGTCACAGCAGCTATTCCGCGTTTATGCATATAGCCAGAGAGAGATGGAAATCAGAACAAGAGAGAGAGAGAGAGAGAGTTATGAATTTGGCCGATCTCGAGACAGAGATGTCATATCGGTAAAAGTATAGAAAGAAAAGAAAAGGGAGAAGAAGCGAAAGAAAACGAGCTCAATATATTATCGTGTGGGCACTCGACACAATATATACGATAGGTATACACGTCTGTACGAATGTTATCTATTGTCCATCACCGTCCCGGAGACTATGGGCATACACGTATAATAATTAACTATCGGTGAGGTATAGCTATGTAATATTTTTTTTTTTTTTTTTTTTTTCAATAACCAGTCAAACCAGAAATCCACGGTCCCATGGCTTGAATACGAAAAAAAGGCCGACAAACGGCCAAAGATCAGAATCGTGCCCCAACCACCGCCACGAACCCTTTAGGCAGCGAAGGAGCGGCCGAGAAAGTCTCGAATATTCCGATAAAGCAGCACGACCTTTCGACTCGGATCGGGACACTTTTTTTCTTCTTTTTTTCTTTATTTTATTGCCGGCAGGCATAAAAGCCGAACAATGCCGTTATGACTGGCGTCCTCACCTCGACGGCTCGGCGCAGAAGGCCGTCGCCTCTGTCGCCGTCAAGATAGAAAGAAAGAAAGGAAGGAAGAAACACTCCCGACCCAAGAGCGCGAGTGTAATTATGCGCGGCACGAAAGGGTCAACGGAATCGATAAAATTTTTTTTTTTTTTTCGTTACTTTTCATCGTACACGCCCTCTTAACCGGACGAGGAGGATGATCGATTTGGACTTGTTTGCTCGGCAATGTAGGAAGTCTGTAATTTATTTGTCGACTCACTTTTTTTTCCCCTCCCTCTTTTCTCTTCTTTTCTTTTCTTCAACTCCGCGAGTAAGGAAATAGAAACCGAGTGGCCTGAAAAGCATCGATCGGCTCTGCGGTTGCCGGCGAAAACGTTGATGGCTGCCGGCTCAAGGATCATCGATTCACTCGGTATACACACACAGTAATTCCTCAACGATCGTGTGACGTGACATTTTTAAGTATAATCTCTGAATTGTATGACACACGTGAATTTTAATTATTTCGTTGGATAATCTCCCGTATAGCGTACAAGGATATATATAATGTAACTTTCCCGTCAGGAATAATCGACCGTATCCCTTGTACACAAAAGGTTTTTCATCCGATTACCGATCACGCATTGCGACAGGTCTCACGAGCTACACTTTCAATTAAAAGTCATTTAATCTTCGTGAAAGTTTTCTTCCGATGCATTTTGTGCCATTTTTTTTTTTTTTTTT